TAACCTTGGAGATTTCTGTTTTATTTAAATTGAAAGGAGATGAGACAAAACGGATCATGGAAAAGAAACCTTGAAAGAACAAGCAAGCCTTCTAGACAGCTGAAGCGAATCGAACAGTGGTAAAGGAAGAAAAACCTCACAGGTATTGAACATCGGTCGGCAGAGGACTCGGGATTTTTCAACCTCTGGAACCATTCTATTTCTTCGAGACTTTTCTCTTCTTCACCAAGACAGGACCTGTTGAATATATATAGCTGTCCACACTGGTCGTCTTCTTCTTCTTCTTCTTCTTTAGATCCATCCATCGGGATCTTTTAGGTTGGAACTAGTCTCCCCACATGTTCTTCATCGGTCGAATCAATAATTAATTTATAATGAAGAAAACAAATAATGCAGGCGATTTTAATTCTTTAACATCAAGAAATATTTGCAGCGTCAAAATAGAATTTAATGCGCGTGTTTCATGAAATAAATCGATAATTATACGTAGATTAACATAACTAGTCTGCTTAGTTTTTCGTATTTAATTAGGTGTCAATATTCTTTTAACCAAAATAATAAGTTATACTTTATTAAAATAAAATTAACGAAAATCTACTAGTGCTCAATTTTCCGTTGTACAGTAATTGCGGAGAAATGATTGTTTTGCCCTTGTAAAAAAAATCATTGCACTTGCTTTAGAGGGCAATACGGTTCTTTTATCATGACCCATTAATCATTTACAATTTGACGAGGGAGGAAGGTCTTCTCACACACATGGTTAAGTTACTTAATTACTCTTAAGACAAAATTATTTAACTTTCATTTAATGGTTTTTTCTTGTTTTTATATATTTTTTGTTGTTATTATTAAGTTGTGTAAGGGCAATTTAGTATTTTAATATATATATATAATATAATTTAAAAATAAAAAAATATTTTACGAGTGCAATACATGCAATACTGTAAAAGTAATGTCCAAGGTCATTAAAATGGTGCGTATATCATTGTTTGAAAGTCAAACATCACTTTTCATAATAATATTGGAAACATCTTAACGTAGTTTTCCAAATGATCAAGTACGTGTGTATAGTAAAGTAATAATTAGGTATTAGATCTTGATGAATTTTTTTTCTTTTCTCTTCTCTTTGTCTTTCTTCTCGTTGCTAAAATATAAAGTTATTCTATGGTTTGTTCTTTTTTTGTTTTATCTAATTTAGTCTTTTTTTTTTAATTTTGTCCATCATCATTTGGTTTCATTTAATTTCTAAATCTAATATGATCCTTATTCTTTTAATTGTTTTTTTACTTTTTTTAATTGAATTTTATTTTTAATTTAATCCATCATCATTTGATTTTCATTTATTTTTATGTTAAATCTATTTCTCATTTATTTTATTGTTATTTGCTTTTTTTTTTTAATTTCTTTTTGTTGTATTTTTCTTTAATTTCATCTATTGGTTTTTTGTTGATTGAGAACTTGCTTTGTTATTTTTAAGGTATGTCTTCTATAAGGTTATTATTATCTTAATGACCAGGGTCACAAAATTTAAAAGTTAACACAGGTTGGATACAACTTTTCTTGATTTTTTTTTATTTTTTTTATCTCGCATATAAAACTTAACTTTCATATATGAAACAAACATAATAAATTATTATATTTATCTGTTTTAATTTTAGTTAATTTTTAAAGTATTTTTTATTTAAAAATTTATTTTTAATATTAACACATCAAAATAGTATGAAATTAAAAAATAAAAATAATTAAATGTTTTTAAAAAATAAAAAATAAAAGTAATTACCCTTGTAAAAAAAATCATTGCACTTGCTTTAGAGGGCAATACGGTTCTTTTATCATGACCCATTAATCATTTACAATTTGACAAGGGAGGAAGGCCTTCTCGCACACGTGGTTAAATTACTTAATTACCCTTAAGACTAAAAATGATTTAACTTTCATTTAATGGCAATTTAGTATTTTAATACATATAAAATATAATTTAAAAATAAAAAATATTTTACGAGTGCAATATATATAGTACCGTAAAGGCAATGTCCAGGGACATTAAGACGGCACGTACATTGTTGTTTGAAAGTCAAACATCACCTTTTCATAGCGATGTTAGAAATATCCTAATATGGTCTTTTAGGTGATCAAACACATGTATACGGTAAAGTAGTAATTAAGCATTAGACCTTAGTGAACTTTTTTCTTTTTATCTTCTCTATCTTTTTTCTCATTGTTAAAATATAAAGTTATTTTATGGTTTGTTTTTTTTTAATCTAATTTAGTCTTTATTTTTTTATTTATATTTTTTTATTTTTTCCTCAATTTTGTCCATCATCATTTGGTTTCATTTAATTTCTAAATTAAATATGATCCTTATTTTTTTAATTGTTTTTTTACTTTTTTCTAATTGAATTTTATTTTTAATTTAAGCCATCATCATTTGATTTTCATTTATTTTTATGTTAAATCTAGCTCTCATTTATTTTATTGTCATTTGTTTTGTTTTGGATTCCTTTTTATTGTATTTTTCTTTAATTTCATCTATCGGTTTATTGTTCATTGAGAACTTGCTTTGTTATTTTTAGGGTTTGTCTTCTGTAAGGTTATTCTTGCCTTAATGACCAGGGTCACAGATTTTAAAAGTTAACACAGGTTGACTTTTATCTTTTTTAGGTTATTTTATTTTTCAATTTTATTTTTCAACATTTAATTTATTGAAAATTAATTTTCATGCTTCTTCTCTTTTTTTCCACATTTATTTATACAAGGTTATCCCAATCTTATATCTATAATCATGAGGCTAGTAGGTTAACTTCGGTTGATTCAAATATATTTTTTTTTGTTGCTACTTAAAAAAAATAATCAATTTCACCCTTTAACATTTAATTGTTTAAGAATTAAGCTTCATGGTTTTATTTAATTTATTTTCATGTTAGGCACATAATAATTGGAAAAAAAAATATTAACATGCTCACAAAAACCTATAATATTATTTGATAGATATAAAAAATTGAATAATAATTAAAATTTAATGTTAATTTTTTTTATAGAGCATTTAAATAGAAATCTAATAAAAAATATAAAAAAACAAAAAAAAACTTAAAGAGCCACCAGCCCTGACACCTTCATGTCTAAAACTCAAGGATTTAAAAACATATAAAACAAACTTTTGGATCAAAATTAAAAATACAAAAACTAAAAGGACTATAAAGTATGAAAAATGAAAGTATATGGACAAAAAATAACGTTTTCACACGAATTTGAGAATGGCTACACAGTTTCTCCTTATTTTATACATTAGTTCTTTTTGGTTGAATCTTATCCTTCCGTAACAAACCATATGAAATTGGTCATTAAATTTAAAATAGAAGGATGCACATGGAAAAAAGATTGAGGATTAAAAGAAAAGAAAAAAAACTTAAAAGTACTACGAATTATTATAGTGAAAAAAAAACTGGCATTTTAATTGCTTTATTATATTAACTAACATAATCTGGATTATGCGGACATAAATAAAATGAAATAACAGGAGCTACTAGATTATCAGATTCCACTTCCAAAGGACGGAGAGCAGTCCCGTAATAAAGCGTTTGAGATTATAATATTATTATTTTTTAAAATAATTTTTATTTTAAAATATATTAAAATAATGATTTTTTTTATTTTAACAAAATTATTTAAAAAACATTAAATAAATTAATTTTAAGAAAAAACTCAAATTTATAAAACAAAAAAAAACATAAAAATATAATTTTAAATAAAAAATACTTAAATTTATTAAAAAAACAGCTTTCTTGAACATAACTTACGTCGCATAAAGTAATTTTTTTATAATTATTTTGTATTTATTTAATATTAAAAAAATTTATCAATAAAAAACAATTAACCATAAAAAAATTTAACTTAATTTGCAAAAAAATATTTTCTCTTTATTGTAAATGAAAAAAGCTTTCTGAAAATTGTGAAAATCTTAAAAATATCATATTATTTATTAATTATATCAAATTTGATCTTCAAACTTTTAATTACTATATATTAATTTTTTTTAATTTCATCTCTTAAAATTTAATTTTTATATTAACTTTACTCCTATTTTTATAATTGTTATTTATTTTTATTTTTTATTTTATTTTTTAATTAAAATTTTTATCTGTCAAATTTTTTCCTCATTCTTTTAATTTGAAATAATTTATGAAATATTAATTTTTATTATTTCAATTAATTAATTTTTTAATTTATTAGATTTAATCTTTATTATTTTGATTATTATTATTTTTATTTAAAATAATTTATAAAATTATATTTTTTTTCAATTTCATTCTTATTCAACTTTTAAATTTAACTTTTAAATTTGTAAAATTTATTTTTTATTATTTTAATAAACTTAAAAAAATAAATTATTAATAAATTATTTTTCATAACATTACCAAATAATAAAAAACCAAATAATAAAAAGCATTTTTCAACTTACTTTTCATTACACTATCAAATATTAAAAAATAATTTATTTTCCTCAAATTTATTTTTTAAAAATTCATTTTTTTAAAAAAAACTTTCCAACAAATAAATAAACCTTAATTTTATGAATATTTCATACATGAATCATGAAATATCAGCCCATGGTACAAGGATTATCTTATTGTTCATTCATAAATCACTTGGTAGGCCAACATCCATACTAAAGGCTAGCCACTACCTACCATTTCCAATTATTTTGTTATCCATAATGCTTTTACATGCATGATTTACACCCTCCGGCGTCAAACACCAAATTACCAGTATATTCCCAAGCACCTAAAGTGCAGCAAGACTCCAATGTGTTTGAAAGGGAAAAGGTGACTGGGATTGTTTTTTAATATATATTTTTTATTTTTTAAAAATTATTATTAATATTAACACATCAAAATAATCTGAAAATATTAAAAAATATTAATTTAAAATACAAAAAAAATATTTTTTTTTTAAAAACACTTTTAAAACACAAAATCAAATAAAATCAAATCAAATAAAGCTTTTACAGTGGGCAACGGAAATAAAAATCCATTCAAAAGTCCAAAACTTGCAAGGCAGAGACAAGAACCTTCTTAAATGAGTACTCTTCGTCCTATCAGACCATTTATATGAGCATTACTGGACAAGGGAGAGAACAAGGTCTTGTATTGCCATGCAGAGTCGATACATAAACTCATGCTAGAATGAACATTTCAGATGGTCCCTTCTCGTTCACCTCACTACAGCACCGCACCGATTTTCCATGGTGATCGTATAAAAAGACCCCAGAAAATCTGATGATTGCGCACCCTGGAGACATGATTCTGCTATTCGTCATTTGTGCAGTAACCAGAACTCCTCTGAAGTCCTTTCCTTCATTTCATACCAAATGTAAAACAAACAGTTAGAAATTTGCTTGTAACTGAACTAACACTTCAATACTAACCATCCAAGAATCGTACAAAAGGAATGAAGAAGTCCTAACCCAAAAGCTAATAGAGGACATCCGAGTCTGACCTAACAAGAACAGCCGAACAAATGATAACACACCAAACTCCCGACACAATCAACAAATCACTCCTGCATCTATTTCAGATACTAAGACTTCAAGTAGCGGGAGTGGTTACACACAAATATTACAACTTAGAATCCGATGAATTGATGGTCGAGGGGTTGACATGAAGAGACATGTTCTAGTTTTTCTCCTCAGAAAGAACGTACTTCAAAGCATCTTCACTGAAATACATCTTAAAGAGTCGAAAAGCTACTCTCAAGATGAACATTCATCCATCTTTGAGAAAGACAACTAAAGCCTCTAAACAAGGCCGACAAGAGGGAGTAACTGGGTAAAGATTGCAGCTATGAGGAGGTAGTCCAAAACAAGAGCTAAGACCCACCCCCACTAGTACCAAAGCACAGAACATTAGATTAACTGACAAGCAGTCACCCTTCCTTTATACTGCAGAACTTGCAGATTAAGAAAAACAAAAATTGCAATGGAGACTAAAGAGATATAAATGGATTATCACATGACAGAAGCATGTGAAATACAAGAATCACATGCTACAGATCACCCTATCATTGATCATCTGTTGTCTAGAGTGGCATTAAAAAATGCTTTTGGAAACAAAGAATTGGACGTGTCTTGTTGTCGAGAACAGTTTAAAACACAATTGTTCCAAACATGATGCATCCCCCAATCAACTTACATCAGCACACAAAGACTCCCTTTGGAATTAGGATGAGAGTGTTCCATATCACAAGGCCATCTGAGAATCTCTACTTAACTTCTTCAATATTCCTTCAAGGCATCCAAGACCAAACATTCCCAGCAATCAATATTAACATCAGATAAAAACTACACACCTATTGAGTCATTGGCTCCAGCTCCCCAAGATCTCTAGCCGAGCATTTTGATTCAGTAAATGGTATCTACCACCAGGCTGGTTTCAAAAAATTTGGTCGACTCATGCAAATCTTGTACATATATTTCTCTGTATGAGTGTCATAGGAGATGACTAAAAATCATTTCAGTCATATTGGTTTCCTCAGCTAAACAAAAAATCAAACAAAAATCAAAAACTGAAATTTTATGCCTTTCAAACCAATCTGCATTGGTAAAATAATGGAACCGCATAGACTGAAAGGCTTGTGTCAGTTATTGATTAGCTGACCCCGCTTCGTGAGGCATGTAAAGGAGGATAGGCCAATAGTTTGCAGATTAATCTACATTATGCAAAAGGAAGCTACTAAACATGCATTCAACTAGACAAGACACAGAGAGCTACCGAGATTATCTAGAGATAACAGAAAATACAGCTGCATCTGATAACTATGCAAGGGCAGATATATATATATATATATATATATATATATATATTGGAGCACTGGCAGCTAAACAGAGAAGAGGAGTTTATTTGCAGGAAATGCTGCTTCTGTGACTTACCACCTGCGTTACAAGAATTTCTCGATACTGGTGGTTAAGGTAGTTTGGGGAACAGCACCAATAATCGCCTCTTTCTTCTCACCATTTTTAAAGATAATAACAGTGGGAATGCTTCGAATCCCATACTCAGTTGCAATTGAAGAGCAATCGTCGGTATTAAGCTTGTAGCACTTGAGCTTTCCAGCATATTGAATTGCCAGTTCATCAATTACAGGGTGAATCATCCGGCACGGACCACACCATGGAGCCCAGAATTCAACCAGAACAGGGGATTCCGATTCCAGCACGAGTGACTTCCATGTTGCATCAGTAACAGCGGGCACTACGGTTCCAACACAAAGAGATGTGAGCCATTTCTACACCATAATTAATTCCAATTATTTAATAGTAAACCCTTATTTATGACTTCAATATCTAAATTTACAATTTTATATAAAAAAATTAAAAAATTAAAATATTAAAAATCACAAATAAAAAGAAAGAAAGAAAGAAAGATGGGATTTATGATCTGGACCTTTAACAGCAATGTCCTGCGCTTCACAAACGATCCTTCCAGCACAAGCGAGTCTAGAACTACTCTGACTCACAGATCCGAGAGAGCGATTTACAGTCGATGAAGAATGAAAGTGAATCTTAAGGCCTTTGAGTTGTGGGAAGCGAAGCGATCTCCGATTAATTGTTGAAGCAAAAGCAGTGACAAGCGTCGTAGTAGGTTTAGGCAAGACAGCAGAAGAGCGAGAAGGAACGGTCAGGGACTCAAGTACAGTGGCCATGTAGAGAATCGTATTATCAGCTCGGGATTAGGTCTCCAGAGATCGAGAGAATTGAAGAAGACCAGTGAGTGATGGAGAGAGTGACGGAGAGAGATGGGTGATGATGATGATGTAGAGAGATCTTGGTGAAGTAGCTGTGTTTGCATTTTTTTTTTTTATAAATTGTTTTCAAATTAAAAAATATTTTTTTAATTTTTAAAATCTATTTTTAATATAACTCAAAATTATATATAAAAATTTAATTTAAAATAAAAAAACCTGATATTTTTTAAAATACTTTTTAAATATAAATATAAAGACAGTCTTTATAATTCTCATACTTGATAGAGTTTGGTATATTAATTATTATTCAAATATTCAAGAGCTTGTTTTGGAAAAGGCAGTTTTAAGTTTATAAAAAAAAAATATTAATAGCTGTATTTTAAAAAAAGAGTTAAGTTTTGAAAGTTGTTTTTAAAGTTTTAGCACAAATAAAGATTATTAAAAAAATAATTGGAAAAAAACTTCAGGTATTCATAATGTTTAATCGAATGAATGTCATATTTAAATATATTGATGCTTTCATTATCTTATTAAATGGTTTGGGTATATTGAAAGAGATTTTTTATATTTTTTTGGGTCCAACTACATATTTACTATAAACCTATAGGTTTGTTAAATGTTAATGATTTTTATGATAAGTTGCTGTCTTTTTTAAATCATGTTGTGGAACAAAAATTTCTAACATTTTCAGCATGACAAATCATAATCTCTGTTGCTACTACTGAATAATTGATTGACCAACTATAATCTTTCATCCCTGTAATTGATCCCTCCATGAGTCGCATAAATTGATTAACTAAGAAAAGCCGTAAAAAAACTTATATTGGATTTGAGTTTTCGTTTAAGAAACCTTGTGCCTTTTTGTTTTATTAATAACATATTATTTTGTTTTTTTATCTCTTATATTTGTTTAAGTATGTTTCAGGTTTATTAGTGTTCAGTGTTTCAGGTGATATTTTTTATACTCTATCTTTGTACCTTAGGATATTGAGAACAACGTCTTATTTTGGTTAGGAGGAAAGTGTAGTAATTGATATTAAAAAAAAAACTCTATTTTTGTTATTATTAAAACTATTTGACAAAAATGTGATTAGGATAGTAGAGTAAGGAGGAATTTTATTAACTCTTGAGATGCATCTTAGTAAATATTTTTCAGTAGTTACTTGCAATTTTCATAATAAGGTTTATCACATACTTTTCTTGAAATATTTATGTTTACAAACTCTCGCATTATTATCAATTGATTCTGCTTATATATTCATTTAACAAGTATTCTTAAACCTTTATTTTCACATACACACTTTAACATATGATTGTGAGTTGCATATTAAATTATTAAATTATTTATATTCTTTTGTTAAAGGTAACAACTAAAAAAAAATGATAGTATATAATTTGCAAAACAAAAAAAAATTGATAATATTGATGATAGTAAAAATATAGATAAGTGTGTTTTCGTAGCCTCTCTAACCTAAGAAATTAAGCCCGAAATGGTATTTTAACACCTAATACCCTAAAGTTAACTGACTTGGGAGCTATTGACCCAATACTTGTTACATGGAGGAAGGAGAAAAGCTTAAGGGAATCAAACATTGTACTATTTACGTATCAATATTTGCAACTCGAATTATTAAGCTCAAAAAGACGTCTCAACACCTAATGCCCTAAGACCAACTGATTTAGGAGTTATTAGCCTAAAGCTCGTTACATGAGTTAAAGATGCATTGTGTTTTAAGTTTTATGTATGTGTGTGTAAAGAAAAAAATAAAAATAATCTTAACCCAAAGAAGTTAACCTTAAATATTAGAATATAATATTGTTTTCTTCCAATAAAAGTCCTATTATCTATGTTTTCATACATTGAGCACATAAAAAAAAGGTTTACTAATATCTTATTTAAGAAATATAAAGTAAATATATATATATTCAATGAGAGTTTGCGGTGGAGCACATACTAATTGACTAGTACGTGTGTGTATGTATTGGATAAAATAAAAAAATTCAACAACAAAAAAAACAAAAAAAAATATTGTTCTAGTCCATAATGTTTTATATATGGAGAACAAATGTTTCCTCATACCTTTTAGGCATTGTTGTAAAACCTAGACTAATTTGTCAGGTTAACATAGGACCTTATTAAAGTAGAGCCTCGATCGATTTAAGTTTAAAAAAAAATAAAAAAGGAAAAAAATTATGTGTCTCAGTATAAAAATTAGGGATAATCACAACTCTGGTTGACCAATAATATTTAATCAATCATTTTGTTGACTTTTCATAAAATGACTTCACTTTGATATATTTATCTTTGAAAAATAAAATTATAATGGACTTGAATCTTCCACTTATCCATAATTGAATCATGTTCTAGGTTAGATTTTGTAATTTTAACCATAAAATCTTTGTAATATTAATACAAGAAAATCTAATGGTTTTTTTTTTTTAAGAAAAACTAGATAGAATTGAAAACTTGTTACATTTGAATAATTTTGAGTATAAAAAAAGGGGAAAAAGTCACGAAAATTATCACCTGGTGTTATAACCTAATCCTATTTTGGTTCATCTGTGGCCTTGTAGCCTGATGGTATTCATTTTTTTATGCACTAAAAATTGGTGCTTCTTTATTGACTATATATGTTTGTACGCATTAAAAAATTCATGAATTTTTTTAAAAATAAAAACAACCACGCAATATCAAGGCTGGAGGTTATCCCTGTATTTCTACTGCTAAAAAATCCCAGCACCAAAAGATTCGCAATCAATACGATTGATCTTTGACTATCTATCATGATCAAAAGAGAATTTCAAGCCTATCACCACAGCATTTCCATGCTTTGGTCTTGTCAGCATGATCACCCAGACTGCTACAGAGACCTTGACTATAACAACGCCCCTGTGACTCCACATGCAAGAACTATCCAATCACACGATGCAGACTTACCTACGCTTGCACGCTTCTACAAACTACTATTGCCCAATGCTTTGCTTGCACATCCCTGCAATCAATCTCTCTTCATAAATCACAGGCTATCAGCATTTTTTCTCCGTAGAAGACCAGAAGAGCCATAGCTCCACTCTCTGTCCTGGCTTGTTGTCTCTTTGTTTTGTTTTGATCCATGGACGGCATGGCCTCTCGAAGATATAAAGAAGATGAAGCTGGCTCGAAACAACATTATCCCACCGTTCAAATTAGTCAACAAGAAGCAACAGTAAAGACCCAAGATAGGTCTCCGACAGAGGAATTCAGGATTAAGCTTGCTGCCATTGCTTTAAGCTTAAATGTAAGGTTAAGATCTTCCGACATGCCAGTCGACATGCAAGAACGAGCCCTTCGCTGTGCAAGATCGTTTCTCGACAAGTCTCCATCATCAGCAGCTCCCAAACCCCGCCCCAATCTTACTCTCCTTGCTCGTGCCCTCAAAAAGGTCTCTCTTCTCTCCATCTCCAAACACAGTATATATGTTCGGCTCAGTAGTTCTTTGATACTCCTACAGTATCAGAGGATTTAACCAGTGGCTAATCCAAATGCCATAGCAGGAATCATTTTCATTTTCAAAGTGATTCTAGCATGCTTTTAACTAGTTATGTAGCCATATGGAACTGAGTCTTAAAAACGGAGTTGGGTTGTATTTTGGACAGGAATTTGATTCGGCATACGGGGTGGCATGGCACTGCGTGGTAGGGAAGAGTTTTGGGTCCTTCGTGACTCACTCACCAGGTGGGTTCATTTACTTCTCGATCGACTCGCTGTTTATTCTTCTCTTCAAAACAGAGGTGCAGCTGGTCACCGAATTGGAACCTTCTTCTCCATCAGTAGACTCGCTTTGAAGGTTTTGCAAAGGATTACTGATTAAGTTGATTAGTCCCCAACTTTTTTTTTTGTCAACAATGTAGGCTTTATTTTTTTTTTTATCAACAATGGAGTCTTTATGTCTATTAATTCTTCAATAAGCGCGGTCATCGTGTCAACTGATTGGGAAGGTTAGAGTAGCAAAAGCCGTTGGAATTATTATTTTAAACATTGGAAGAATCCGTTTTGTTATTCTAGAAAAGGGAAAAAGAATAGCTGAAAGGGTCAAGTGATCATATTTACTATCATACTATACTCACAGTATTTTTCTAGTAAAATATTTAGATATGGTAAATGTGTTTTTTTAAATAAAAAATTCAATTATTTAGGTTATTGTTTCAACAAATTAAATAAACTGGTTTATTTGAATCATAAAAAACAATTATAGCAAAAAAGGAAATATATATATATAAGCCATCATAATAACATAAAATTTTTAGTCAATTAAACGTGAAAATACACAATAGAGTAAAAAAAAATTATATGGGTCAATTCCTGCCAGCATTGTAAACATGTAATATTAAGGGATAAGCTAGTCTAAATTAAATTGATAAATAGACATTCTAGATTATGATATTATTTTAGATTATGATATTGGAATAATTTGATAATTTTTTTAAAAAACTAATCACAAAACCATTTAAAAAATAATTTTGAACGATAATATTATAAAAAAGGATGTTAATTTTTATTAATTTTTAAAACCGGTAATCTAGATTAAGATCAGAAACACTATAAATTAAAAAAATTATAAAATTTAATTTATAAAAAATGAAACATTGAATGATGTTTGAAAAAAAATAGGCAAGAAAATGAAATAATAGTAATTAAAAAATAAAGATTAAAATAAAAATAAAAAATAAATTGAAAGGCAACAACAAATTTTTATTTTGAGAGTTAAATTGAAAAGAATAAAAATATTAATAAAATTCAAAAAAATAATAAAAATAATACATAATTAACTTGGATTAAAAGAGAAAATTAAAAACAATAAAATTTTTATATAAAGATTAAGAAAAAAAATTATTAAAAAAACAAGAATCAATTTGAAAAAACCAAAACATGATATGAAAATTGAACATGTAGAATTTCTCAACACAATGTTTTACAAAAAAATGTTAAATGTAAATAAAAAAAGTTATGCACTTATTTAATTGTATCAATCACAAATGTTTTTGTAAATAAATAAAAAATTCATCAAATATAAATATAAATATAATTAAAAAAATTAAAAGATAAATATAAATCAAGATATTTATCATTATAACTTGGGTCATTTACCTAGTTGCTTTTAACAAATTTATTTATTAAAATTAATTTGTAATAGAAATTAAAACACATAAAATTTATTAAATAAAATAATTTTTTTTTATGCAAGGCTACATATATTAAAAATATTGTAAGAAAATAATTTTATTTTTATTTTTTAAAATAAATTTAATCTATATAAAATATTATAAAAATTATAAGTGTGTCACACTAATCTCATAAAACAAATTAAACACACCCAATATAATTAAAAAATAATAACTATTTAAAAAAACTAAATAACCCAAAAAAATCATAGACAAAAGGGTACTAATTAAAACATAAATGCAAAAATTATTTTTAAAAATACATAAAAAGTAGTATTTTAAAAATAAATAATAAAAAGGAATAAAAAGAAAAGAATGAGAGTACCTTACCTAGAAGACACTCTTGAGATTTTGTTAAATCAATCCATAGCTTCTAAAAATATAAAAAACTGCCAACATAAACTCTTTCTGTGCCATGATTAGAATGAAATGATTGATTTTTATAACATAAACTCTAGACTTTACATAGTAACTAGGTGTATTTATATACCTTGATTTTGATATTTTTTTCATGAAGAAGGAGACATAATTGATGGAGAAACAAACGAGGATACTTGCTTTAAAAAAAATTATGCAAAGTATATGAATGCATAGAAAAGTATGTCATAACAGTAGGAGTTAGTAATTTATATTAAGCTCAAAATACTGAAAAAACTTAGTTAATTATTATTTATTTATTATCAACTGTAAACCCAAAAACGAGATTTGTACGAGTGCGGTTTTGCACGTCCAAGGTACATCCATTTCACTTGACTGAAGCTTTCAAGGGTTCGACGATGGTAAGCGGAATTGCTCTATTTACGTTGAAATTAAAAAAGAAGAAGAAATCCTTATAATATAATCCCATTGTGGAAAACACAATGATCTAGTTATATATAAAAAGTAATATGAAAAATATTGATCATTAAAAGAGTTACTGTCATTTTTTATATTTTTTATGTGAGTTTTTATTTATTTTCTAATTAAATGTTTTTTAGATTATGTCAAGTTCATCCTGATGTGCCCGTTTATAGATAAAACGATGACTTGTCCAAATAATAAAACTCAAATTACTTATTTTTTTGACATCTTTTATTTTTAATAGAAATACTTTATATATTTTTTAAATTCAACACTCAAATAACAAAGATAATAGTTGATAGACTGGAATGTAAAAAAAATTATAAAGTTTGCACACTAAAATACAGTAAACTCATAAAAAACAGAAAATAGTTATTTTATTTTTACTTTAAATTAATATTTATTTTATATTATTTTGATATGTTAACATTAAAAATAATGATTAAAAAACAAAATAAAATATTATTTTCTGGTATTTCCTTCGCAGCCACTGAATATCTGTTTCTTCCATGATTACACGCAAACATATATGGGCATGGAATGGTTCTGTGGACTGCGATGGTTAGGTAACATTTCCAGGCTTTTCTTATTTGTTCTTCCCGATGTTGATATTTGTCTTGTCCTCCGTGGCCTGCTGATTCCTCCATAATGCTAAATATTTTAGCATTTATTTATTTATTTATTTTATATAATTACATAATAATGAAACTAAATATCCATAGCAAAGATAATAAACGAAAGGGATAAAAGATAAAAAAATATTTATCTTCTTTATAAATCAAGATTTCAAAATAATTTAAATAAAGTTATATTTAGTTGAATTTTATAAGTTAACTTAAATTATTACTCAAACTCTTTAATTTATTAAAATCTTATAAATATATTTAGTTATTAAGACATTTGACTTACATTAAAAAATATTAAAATCAATCAAAGTTTAAATTTGTTTTTTAATATTTACCAAGTCAAATTTTTTCAAAATTATTAAAGGTTTATATAAATTTTAATTTTAAAATTTGTAAGATTAGTTTAGATAAATGCTTGAATATATATATAAAAATATCCTTATTATTAAAAATTGAGTAAAAATCTTGATTTAATTTTAAATCAATATTCTTAACTTATAATTTATAAATTCCAAGTAATGAAATGTTTTATTAGACGTGATAAATATGCAATCTAATCGATTTAAATAATTATGGCTTAGAGAAATCATTCATCCATTGACTCTGTAGGGCACATATTCCCAAGTTGACATGACGGCATCCCAATGAACCACCAAACATTTGCATGATAGGAATACAGACACGCAGAAAAAGCGTGGTAGGTGCAACTACAGGCCCGATTTTAATTTGTTAGACCTCGTATTTTATGTTAGACCTCATATTTTATGCGACACATAATTTTCTACATGCTTAATATTCACTGAGAATTCAATTTCAGAAAATTATATATATAAAAAATTATTGATGAAATAATATTTTTTATCGATATTTTTCAATAATTATAGGATGAAATATTTTGGTAGAAGATTTCCAATTATTATAATGATAAAATTATTTTTATTAATAAATACCGATATAATTACTGACAAAATAAAATAATTCAAATAAAAAATTTTTAAGTTTGTAAATCCATCATTAAAATAACATGTGTTGGGTTGTGACATTATGATTCGTTATGTGTGTATACATGTGTTGGGTTGGGTCCCATGTAGAAAAGATATTGAAATTTTGTTATAAATTGATAGATGCACTAAAATGAAAAAAAAATATAAACCTTTGATTGAGATTTTAATTGAATATTCTTAGTTATTTAGTTATATTGTTTAGATGCTGATAAAAAATATATGGTTAAAATAGAGCATTACTCATCGTCAAGTAGTATTGTTTGTAATCTTTCAATTTATTTAGATGTTAATCATGAAAAGACACATGATATACCATCTAACGACGATGACTCGTCAATTATGGGTTGCAGATCTATGAACCTATACATGAAGCAGCATGTAAGAAAATCTAATTTTATTCAAACATGACATTAAATTAATGTTAATGTGTTTATTAGTTTGGAGTTAATTATTTCAATTTCAGGTTTCTAAATTTAGAAGTTGTGCGAATAATGACATCGATGAAATTGTTGTTGGATGAGCCCTTTTTTATTTTATTTTTAATGGAGTCAACTTAAAGATTATCCAAAATAAAGGCTTGTAATTGATGCTTGGTGGAAGAAGTTCAAGATTAGTGTGTAATCAACACTTTTAGTAGATAAAAGATGTTCTTAAAACTTGGAAACTAATTATTTTATAAAAATAATTTCAAGAAAAAAATATGGTGGGATGAGGTAAATCTAAGATGGCAAGACAAGTCTAGAAAAATTATAGCTCAACTATGTAAATTTTATTTTGTTAATTGTAAGTGTTTATTTGTAAAATTCTAATATTTTTTTTGTTATATTTTTTTTAGTTTAATGAATTTTTAAACTAGGTTGTGTGATTTATAATATGAAGGCACACATCTATGCTAAAAGAAAAGCCGAGTCAAATAACTTTGAGGCATTGAAGAATTTTAGACCTCTTCATACTACTGAGAGCAACTAGAAGAACTATTTAGAGTTTTACACGTTAGAGGGTTTTAAAAGGCGTTCAAGAAGTGGCTCCTTGAATAGAAACAAGGAGACTCACGATTCCATTAGCAATATACCGACAAGTCTCTTCCTTTTACAAGCCATACAAAGCGTCTTATAAGAGAGCTTGTTTTAATTTCAAGTATTTTTCTTAAAATGGTACCTATAATTTGTATTTAACTAAGAGAAATTTATTTTACAAACTATACAACTTGGGAGTGAGCCTATTCTAATAGAGTGGTATATAGAAACATATACACAGGGGAAAGATAGACAAAAAGAGATGTAACATTTTTTTGATAGCTAAATTGACGTGTTTATTGTAAGTAGACTTTTTATAGATTGTTTGGAATAATTTTTTCTCATCCTTGTCTCTGACTTATTTTTCTGTGGTGTAGGGACAGTATAACATTGTCATGTGTTAAAACATTGAGTGGACTCTTCAACTCATCCAGAATACGGTCCGAATTTGTAGTTGAAGGCTAGAGAAACTGATGGATCTGATAAGAACCGGATTTATGGTATCTCTATGACTATGGTCCGAGTCATGAAATCAAGTTGTAGTGTCTCGATTTTAAACACCCTACAATTCAGCTCAAGTCAACTATCACTAATAATTGAGGAGTTGGTATTCTGACAGCCAAAATAAAAGCAAAGTATGAAGCACAAGAAAAAATATTAGAGGTGATCATCACAAAGTATGAAGCATACTTTTCTGGTTATTACCCTTTCCTTTATAAACCTTCACAAGATTTCCTTCCCCTTTATCTCCAGCTCCACCTTTACCTGGAGCTTGTAATTGATTTGTTTATAAATTTGCAATTGATTTTTACATTATATAAATATTGTAATTCAATTTGATTGATTTTAATAGATATTTGTAATTTTTTTACATTATATAAAATTTATTTTTCAATTTAAATTAGTTATTTGATGTTGTTTAATTTCATTGTGAAATTATTTTATAGCATTTAAAAAAACATCTTGTTTAAATACCAACATAATTTCTGTCACAAAATGTTCAATCTTTTCATCTTTTCATGAGAGAATTACAAATAATTATTAATTTGACCCACCCCGATGGGAACACCAAAGCAACATGCCATCGATGTTCTGTTGGTGAAACCGTGCGTGAGACAACTATATTACAGATAGAAGTAATCATCGGTAATATTTCACCAATAAAATTGGCGACAGACGTTGGTCGGCCCCTTCTTTAAGAAGCGATGACAATAATTTGTTACTATATCCATTAGTAAAAAAATCAACGATGAAATTACTGCAAGTATGCATCATTGACGAGATATAATAACACGTTTCCAACAATAAATTCATCAATGATTTTTACACCAACAAAATTACTGTGTTTACACCAATAGAATATTCCACGAGTGTTTTAAGATTTTCTGGTTGTGATTATATGTTGCCGTGGTGGTTAGTACGTTGCTATGCTTGCTTGAGATGAAATTGCTTCAGGTGCGCGGTCTCCCTACGATTCATCTAGCTATGTATGGCCTGTACTTCATGACGCCCGTCTAACACTGAAATGGACTTTCTTTGATGGAAACATCTATCTTGTTTAGCTTTATCAGCAAGCACTGTTGTTAATGATCTTACATGGATGACAAACATGGTTAAGCTTTATGTTGGCTAGCTACGACTGTTCTTTCAAAAGTAGGTTGCGCAAGTCGTAATTCGACCAACTGAAAAAACTTCCATTAAAATTTGATAATGCAAGCTAGCTAATCAATGCATTGCATTTATGGTCAACTGTAGCAACTCTAGCACTCAAACAAAAAGTCTAAACGTATTCTTAAGCGACGGTAATCTGCCAACATCTCAAGATATTTGAATATTCAAGGTGAAAGTGATCTTACTGAAGGAAGAATATAGCAAGGTTAACTTCCATTTTCTAACCTGATCATCGTAAGGTGAAAAACTGGCTAAGAATTAACCTAAAACTATGCCTAAAGCAAGCCATTGTTTCTGGCGTTTACAGTCTTTGTTACTCCAATATTGCCAGGGATGTGTGTGGAAGCAGTTTAGATTAAAACTCTCCTTGTTGCTGAAAATGGAAGCCTGTTTTACCAAAAACGGAAAATGCATGGAAGGAATCTGGGCAATGCGATGCCAATAAAAAGTGGGATATCATTATTTAAGTAGGGACACGAAGGAAATTGGCTTTGACTGCACTCTAGAGTTGTTACTGAGCTGAAAACATCTTCAGAGACACATCTGGTTCATGAGGCTTGTTCTAGTTTTCTTTTCATTTTTAAACTATATAATTTCCGCACCTAATCAACGAAACAACCCTCCTTCAACTCTCTTTATATATACTGGTTTCCAAGCTTTGATGTGCACACAGTCCCAAAAAAAAGCGGCTTCTTTCTTCTATCCTGCTCCAAAAGAAGAAACATATCAGAAAAATGGGTGCCTCTCTTCTTCCTCCACCAGCGTTTCTGGCAGTGTTTCTCTTCTCATTTGTCACTTTGTCTGTCAATCCTGAGCCTGCACTTGCCGTTTCTAAGCACTACAAATTTGATGTATGGGTTACATGTGAAATGTCGTTGGCAAAGCACCTAAAATTGTTCAAATATTCTCTCTTCTTGTTTTTTTTTCTACTTAGTCGAATGAATTTTGCACTTTATTTTTTGACAGTATAGAAAATAATATGTTACAGGTTATGCTGCAAAATGTGACACGCCTTTGCCATACCAAGAGCATGGTTACAGTTAATGGGAAGTTCCCGGGGCCTCGCATTGTAGCTAGAGAGGGTGATCGTCTTGTTATTAGAGTGGTCAACCATGTCCAAAACAACATCTCTATTCACTGGTACATGGACAACCTCCAATTTTCACCAAGTATAATGGACACCTTCTTGTATAGAAAGGGCTGTGTCTAAATCTCAGTTTATGTTTTCATTGATCCACGCAGGCATGGGATTCGACAGCTTCGCAGCGGGTGGGCCGACGGACCAGCATACGTAACTCAGTGCCCTATACAAACTGGACAAAGCTATGTGTACAACTACACCATTGTAGGACAAAGAGGCACTCTTTGGTGGCATGCCCATATTTCATGGTTAAGATCAACTCTCTATGGTCCAATAATCCTTCTTCCCAAACTCGGCACTACTTACCCATTTGCTAAACCTTACAAGGAGGTTCCAATTATCTTTGGTAATCAACTACAAGAAATCAAGCTACTTTGAGGAGCTTAATGAAATTTACGTTGATTTTTTTTTCCTGTTGAGGGAGTCTATGTCTGCTAACACAAACCATAATACAAATAAATTGCAGGGGAGTGGTTTAATGCAGATCCAGAGGCGATCATTAACCAGGCAATGCAAACTGGTGGAGGCCCAAATGTCTCTGATGCTTATACCATCAATGGACTTCCAGGGCCCTTGTATAACTGCTCTGCCAAAGGTAAAATATTTTAGCTGAGGCGGCCATCTACGACAATACTGAACCACCTTCTTCATCTTCTTCTTCTTTCCCTTTCCTCTCTCGTTTAACTTGTGTACATGGCACCTGGCAGATACTTTCAAGCTGAAGGTAAAGCTAGGGAAGACTTACCTTCTTCGCATGATCAATGCTGCCCTCAATGACGAGCTCTTCTTCAGCATAGCAAACCACACAGTCACAGTTGTTGATGTTGATGCTGTTTATGTCAAGCCATTTGATGCCGAGACACTTCTCATTACCCCTGGACAAACCACAAATGTTCTTCTGAAAACCAAACACGACTACCCAAATGCCCAATTTTTCATGTCTGCTAGACCTTACGCGACTGGTCAAGGAACTTTCGATAATTCAACTGTTGCTGGCATTTTAGAATATGAAGTACCAAACAAAACCAGTCAATCAAACCACTCCACCAAGAAACTCCCACTCTATAAACCAAATCTACCACCTCTAAACGACACTTCATTTGCTACAAATTTTTCTAGCAAACTCCGCAGCTTAGCCAGTGCAGACTACCCTGCCAATGTTCCTCAAAAGGTTGACAGGCAATTTGTCTTCACTGTAGGCCTTGGAACCAACCCATGCTCTAAAAACCAAACGTGCCAGGGACCAAACGGAACGAGGTTTGCTGCTTCAGTCAATAATGTATCATTTGTAATGCCAACCACAGCTCTACTCCAAGCCCACCATTTTGGTCAATCAAAGGGTGTTTACAGTCCTTATTTCCCAGTCAGTCCACTGATCCCTTTTAACTATACTGGCACACCACCGAACAATACTATGGTGAGCAATGGAACAAAGCTAGTAGTTCTTCCATTTAACACAAGCGTGGAGCTCATCATGCAGGACACCAGCATACTTGGTGCAGAGAGCCACCCTCTTCATTTGCACGGCTTCAATTTCTTTGTTGTCGGTCAAAGTTTTGGGAACTTTGATCCAAGCAAGGATCCTGCCAATTTCAATCTTGTTGACCCCGTTGAAAGGAATACTGTGGGAGTGCCCTCTGGAGGCTGGGTTGCTATACGGTTTCTAGCAGACAATCCAGGTTGGTAATTAATCATCATTAGTATAAGCAACACATGCAAATTAACATCCTATCTTAGATGATTAAGTTTATGAACGTAGCACCTTCGTTTGCTGACATCTTATCTTTTGTGGATGATGGCCATCACCAGGGGTATGGTTCATGCATTGCCATCTAGAAGTGCACACAAGCTGGGGCTTGAAGATGGCTTGGGTTGTCTTGGATGGAAAGCTTCCCAATCAGAAACTGCTTCCTCCACCAGCTGATCTTCCCAAGTGTTAACTTTCAAGGCTTCAAGCTGCTTTTCAGCTACGTTGAGACCAGAAACTTCCTGATTAGTTTTTTTTGTCTTCGGGTTTTCTTTGTAACGGGCTTGTTTATTTCTTTTCAGTGTTTTTTTTTCTCTCATGAGCTTTAGTTTCCAATATCATTTTGGTTACCATTGTTGGAGTTGAGGAAGGAGACGAATCTCGTCAAACCTTTTGATTATTTAATTTGCAAGCAACATTTTTCTATTATTTATTACTTTTATATCCATAAAAGGGCATGGAGATCAACCATTAAACTGAATTCTGAACACGAGAAGACTCTTACAGCTTCATCAACAACCACCATGCTATGAAAGCAATTGTTCATGCATTCTCCTTCAAGGCAACTTCTTCTCCACTTTGGAAATTAAAAGCACTCAATTGATATATTTCTAAAAATACAAACACTCAAATAGTTATAAATTATATTTCTTATACTATTATTTATTCAAGATAGAAATAGTACAGCAATACTATAGAATAAGACATTAAGAACATATATAATATGGTGGTGAATTTTTGTAAACGTTTATATCAATTAAATGAGATGGAAAATATAAATATTAATTATAAAAAGATGATAAATGGAAATGATAAAAATAGCTTAGGACTTAGAATAAGATTTTTAAGGAAATGGGTTACTGATGATAATTGTTTTTAGAATAAAAAAGTCACTTCTAAAAATTAATTTTTTTGTTGTTAAAAGTCATTAGAAGTATTTAAAAATATAGTAGTGATTGTTTTTCAAAGTATTTTTTATTTTAAAATATATTAAAATAATATTTTTTAAAAAAATATTTTTAAAAAAATATTTTTGACATCAGCACATCAAAATAATTTAAAAATATAAAAAATATATTAATTTAAAATAAAAAATTCTTAAATTTTTTTAAAAATAATTATTTACCACAGTGTTAAATACTATTCACTACAAACGGTGTCTTAGATAGTTTTAAAAGGGGGAAAGTATTTTGCCTCCAATAACATTTTTAAAAGTTAAAAACACGGTTTCTTATAAGCAAATGAGCACTTTCACACACTATTTTAAGACTTATAATGTATTTTTAACATAATACTTTTATGTAAGTTGCCTCATCATTTATGAATTCATGTCATTAGAATTTCTAATAATAGCAACTGATACATATAAAAACAATATATTAATTTTGAGATATCTTTTTATTTAAAAGAAAGCCTTTTTATCCCCTTGACATGAATATATTCACAATCTATTCAATTATGATTATTCAATGAAATACAATAATTAACCACTATAAATAGTTAAATTTTGATATCAATTAATGTAAAAAAAAAACACATAAAATATGATGAAATAGGGTTAAAATACAAAAAAATCTTAAAACCTTTTTTCCTGAAACATTAATTCGATCAAATCGAGAAGGTTAGAAATGCTTTTAAATAGGCTAAAAAATCAACCTATACTAAAAAATGACCTAATATATTCTTTTAACAGACAAGGATTTTTTTTCAAATAAATTATATAAGTAACTTAAATGAATCATAATTTTTTGTTCGATTGTTAGGAGTTCAGGATCAATTCTATAAGGAAGCTTCTTCGGTAATCCATCCACTAAAAATATTTTTTAAAATTAGGTTTGGAAAAAAAAAATTTGTTATTTTTTCTTCATTTTTCTGGATTTTTTGTGTTATATTCCTTTATATTTTAAAATTTTGATTTCGTAACATAGTTTAGATGGGTTTTTAGCCTATTTAAAAACACTGTTAACCTCGTTGAGAGGCAAAACTTTGTCAGATTAATATTTTGAAAATAAAAACAAGATTTTTGGGTTTGTTTTTGTTTTATCCCTGTTTCGGCCTGTATCGTGTCTTTTTATGCTTGCTTGTGTCCTTGTTGAGTTTCTGCATGCATGAAAGGACAACTTCTTACAATTCAACAGTTGCTGGCATTTTGGAATATGAATTATCACCCCCAAGCCTTTCAGTCGAACCACTCAATTACAAAACTCGCACTCTATAAACCAAATCTACCACCTTTAAATTACACTTCATTTGCTACAAATTTTACAAGCAAACTTCGTAGCTTAGCTTGTGCTGGATTCCCTGCCAATGTGCCTCAAAAGGTCGATAAGCAATTTTTCTTCACAGTAGGTCTGGTACAAACCAATTTCCTAAAAATCAGACCTGTGAGAGACCAAATGGAACAATGTTTGCAGCTTCAGTGAACAATGTTCCATTCGCAATGCCAACAATGTTTAATTTCTGATGATGTTGATTGTATGTGAACAGGTGTGGGGTTCATGCAAAGCCATCTAGAACGGCACACATGTGGCCTGGATGGCTTGGGCTGTCTTGGATGGCAAACTTGCAGATCAGAAACTGCTTCCTCCATCAGCTGATCTCCCCAAATGCCAACATTAAAGGCTTATATTTACTTCTCAGTAACAGTCAGACCATGAACTGTTCTGATGAAATTTTTATTCTCTTCTATTGGTTTCTTAAAACTAATTCTATTCATCGGCACTTTTCCAGATTTGTTCTCTCTCAGCAAATTGATCTTTAGAGATTATTTTTGTCGCCCATGTCAGAGTTGGGGAAAGCAGAATAATGCAGGGATTTTATATCAAATATTTTGTTGCTGAAAGCAGGAAATGATACTGCCACGAGTGAAGATTAATCTTGTTTCCCTTGTCATTCCTTTGCCCTGTCTACAGTCTATACCTCGTGAAGTTCTCCAATTCGGAACCATGGAGAAGACGGCAGAGTCCATGCAGTAACTGGGTAACACCATATGGCATCAACGCCTAGCCTTCTTGGTGTCCATTTAACATCGTGGGAGATCAGACCAGAGTCTGATAGTCATAGGTCCAAATCTCTACCAAAGTGTTGAAGTACGACACAGAGAGGTTTAAATCACAAAGAGGATGAGTTGAAAATTCACCACTCATCTCTGATGCAAACTAGTAAATCACAACTTGTACTTCATAACAACACAGGAATTTGAGAAGGATCGTTGAGCCACTGATTCCATTTATTTAAAAAACTCGGATAAACAACATAAATAAACTGAGTGTTTATAACTACAAACAAACAAACAAAACCAAAAACTTCAGTTATTCCCACTCCTATTATGATGCAGGCACTCATCAACTGTATGCAAAATGCTGCATGATATAGTTCATTGAACTTGGTAAACAGAAAGGAGAAGAAATCAATATAATGTATGAACCTATAAAGAATAGTATGGCACTATCTAACTATAATATTAGAACATGGCTACTGAAATCAATAACCAGCGTCTTACTTGATTTCCCTTTCCCCAGAACCTGTATATTTAGCACACAGACAACTAATCCACCTTATAATCTAACCTCTGGCATAGTTAGCATTGAACTAAGACAAGTTTTGCTCACGCATCAAAGTTTCAATCTTTTCAACATCTTCTGGAATGTCGACACCATGCGCCTCATGGTCAACTTTTATGACCTGCACAATTTATATACATTTCTAAATATTGAAATTTCAGCAAGCACAACCTGAATTCTTATTAAAAAGAAAACTAAAAATCCAATTTTTAGTCAATAAAAATTGGAAATACATGCAGAAATCTTTGGATGTGAATGCTACTATAGAAAATAAAACAAGTGAAAAAAAAAAGAGGCAAATTGGCCTCCAATTTCATGGACTCAGTTTCATTCCAAATTTCCTTCCATATTAACCTATTTTCCGCTGTACATAATGCTGAATAGGATGATTTCAAAATAAAATTGGCTTCACTTTTTTATCCAAACAATTTTTTTATGGGAGAAGAATGGCAAAATGGGAAAGATTCACCCTTCGCAATGGGTTATCCAGAAATAACCAAAAGAAATAATTTTCTTTCATTAAAAAAGCAGCCTCATCTGGGGCCTAGGCCATTTTGTTAAAGAAATTTTCAGCACTCCAGACAAAGGTGCTCAAAATGCTCATAAGAGCTTAGAAGTTCTTGCAATGTGAAAACAATTAAGCAAGAAGTTTAGGATAGAACAAGCCAATCAATGGGAAGAGACAATGGAATTTTATAATATTACCTTCATTTTATAACCATTTTCCAGCACCTTAAGCTGTTCCAGATCCTCTTCCAGTTGCAATGGAGTTGGTTGAAGCTCAGGATATATCTTCAGAAACTTTGCATCATAACTCTGGTCGGACATGAGATGATATGCAGTGTTGTTAATGTGCAGGATGGATAACAATGTGGCTGAAAAACAGAAGCCAGACAGACAACCCAGCGAGGAGAAAATTTTAAAAAAGATGCTGTTTTCATACCTGAATTCCAAGATGAAGCAAATATGGAAATTGTGGATTGACCTTCCCCGATCTGTGTCAAGTGGGAATATAATTGTTAACAGTCTAACTAAAAAGAATTACAAAGAAAATAAGGACAGCCCACATGTATTTGATAAACTCACTTGTTGTAAGGAATTAATCCCCTTGAAAAATAGATAGCATAACCTTGATTGTCCACCACACATTTCACTCGATTGGGATCAAATGCATCTTCAGGCTTCAAAGAGGTTACAGCTGTGCTAAACACAGCATCTGGGGCTGCCTGCATCCATATGCATAATAGAAACCTTCAACAAAGCTCAAAGTATTAAATAATGAAAAGTACTGCAATAAGAACAAACCAATGCAGTATAATGCTTGAGATGATTTTTAAGCTGCACAGCTCATTCATTTTCTTCACTTAATTAGACGTATTGTTCAAGTTGCTCAAATAAATCTTGTGAAAATGTTAAAATTTATAAAGATAAACATGAGCTTCAGTTAATTAGATGTATTGTTCATGTTTCAGAAGATGTGTATTATGAAGATATATAAATTCACCTGCAGGGATTTAACAATTCCATCTATTATCTCAGGTTCAATGAGAGGCTCGTCCCCTTGAATATTGACAACCACATCATATTTCTTATCTAGTTTTTGAAGTGCTTCATTGCACCGTTCCGTGCCTGCACAATAGAAAGAGAATGTTAACCATTGGCAATTCACATAAAGTTCAGATTTACAATGAACAACAAAGATACCTACCATTTCGACAAGATTCTGATGTCATTACAACATCAGCACCAAATCCTCGACAACATTCTGCTATTTTTTCATCATCTGTTGCCACAACTGCAATGGAAAACATAATGAACGAGTTTGTGAACACATCAACAAAAGAAATTAGACAATTCAGCTCACAG